TAAGCCACTTACACCATCACATCCAACAATACATCGATATCCATCAGAATTTGATCCAACAATACGATTATTATTGGTATCTGAAATAAATAAATATCCATTACCATCTAAAATAATTCCAGTTGGATAGGCAAGTGTAATTGTAATATTTAATGATCCATCACCTACGACTGTTATTGCATTTAATTCTCCTGGCTGAAAGAGCTGAATTCTATGATTATCATGATCTGCTACATATAAATTAAAGTTAACATCGATAAAGATTCCATGAGGATTGTTAAGCATATTCGATTCTAAACCACTGGTGCCATTTCCTGCAGCAATAATCTGAAAACCTGTGGTATCGTTCAATAATTCTTTAATGACTATATTAAAGTCGCCAAGAGAACAATAAAGATTATTAGTAGTATCGATAAAAAGACCATGACATGTTCCCATAACATACATTGCAGTAATGCTGCTTGTTGCGTTCCAAGCCCATTTATCCACTTCATGCGAATTACCATTGTCAACGTAAACATCGCCATTGGCACTAGCAAAGATACCAAATGGACTGGTTAAACCACCAGACAACGTTTTCGCAGGATCTATATCCCCTTCGAACCATACTTGAATGCGATTGACTTCCCTGTCAGCTACATAAACAGTATTGTTGGTATTGACAAATATGCCATATGGACCAACACCAACTGTGCTACTATTTGCAAAATTTGTTGCATTGGGATTCCATGTTGCTGAAGAACAGAATTTTGGTTGATTATATGAAGGACCTACAATAGACATATCAAATGATAATACGATTTATTGATTCCATTCATAATTATATAATTTAAATGGGATCTGTCCCTTCATATGAAGTACTAGTTTTTATTAATTTATTTTATACACTATTTACATACGTTCATATTCACACATATTGAGAATGTCGATTCGCAAATTATAGTCATCTTTTATTTTCGCGTACCCCTCAAGGAAATCAAACTACAGTGAAGTAATTTTGGCTATATGAGTTTGCCAATACGATATAAATGTACTCACCACAATTTGTTGCCAACATAAATTTTTGAATTCGATTATTATATGCATCAGCGACAAATAAATTTCCATAACTATCAAAACTTATGCCCCA